GAGCCGCAGAGCGAGCCGCCCTCCTGGGACCCACCCCACGCGAGGCCGAGAGCGCTCACCGCTCAGCTCCGGGGGAGGATAGAGGTGGTACGTGCTGTAAATGTCATTGCGCATCTGCAGCTCCAGCTTCGTGTGCTTCTTCAGCAGGTCCGATACCTTCTCCTCCTGGAAAGGAGTCTTTTCCAGGATGACTACGGCATCTGTCCCCTCTCCGGAGGGGCCGGTCACCTGGAATAAGAACGGATAAAGCCGTTGGCAAACACGGACCCAGTGCTGGGCAGAGAGTTTGAGGCCAGGACCTGAACGACTCCACCCAGGGACCGCAGCAGGCACCTTGCAGCCCCTCAATTCTCGTGCGCAAACCCCTCCTAGTCCAGCCAACCACTGGGCAGCACCCATCCAAAAATAAAAGGCCCGTTTGCCCCAAAGCGCGGCAGGAATCTGCTCCCCGTCAGGGAACACAGGCTGTTTTCTGGGAGAGGATGGGATGCGGTCAACAGCTCAGCCCATCTGCACCTCCCCGGATGCTCCCAGCGCCCACGGCTGCGTTCCCGCTGACCCACATCACCGATTCCATCTCAGATACTCGCAAGACAACAAGTCGGCACGGGGCCCGCTGACCAGGCGGTCGGAGGGTCAGGAAGAGGGCAAGAGGCAGGCGTTAGGGGTTTGCATCATGGTCAGGGAGCAAGCCTAAGCTGTTTTGGGGCAGGGAGCACTGCTGCCCTGCTCCGAGGAACCACAGCCCAGATCCGGATGCGGCCTGGGGCGCGGAGCACACCCCCCCGCGTCGCTCCTGTCGGTACAGGAGCCAGGCGAGGCCTCGCTGAAGACCGCTGGGGGAGAGCAAAGGGGTTCACCTGGGGCTCCCAGCCCAGCCACGCTCGGGGCAGAGCGGGCAGGGCCGTGCCCGGCTCAGTTACCCACTGACCACCAACCCGCCACCGTGAGGCCGAAGCGGCAGCTTGAAACGTCCCCGTCCTCGTCGCCTGCTCGGATGCACATCTCCAGGAGACGGGAGCTGAGGCGGCTGCGCGGTTCCCGCCCCACGGCCGGACTCTCCGGCCATTAAAAAAAAGAGTTATTACGAATATTTCCCTTTTACGGCGCCCGATTGACACGTCTATCCTATTTACAGCCCCGGAGTTAGCACCTTGCATTGCAATTCAGTGCCACTTTACCTACCAAGCACGAAAAAACTGCTCGCTGGGCCAAAAGGAACCGCTACGCTAATAAGAAAAAATAACCTGAGGCTTGAAATACGGTTTCCA